TGTTCCTCTTGGTGGTATCACTGATGGCCCCCAAAGAATTATTATTCATGATCTATTAATGATCTACAATGACTGAAAGCATTAGGTTGGAACCTGTTGGGGAAGAACAAAAGCAATGAATGATTAAAGTTAAACCCTATAATTTAGCATGGACAGTCTGGGTTTAAACTGAGGCTGTCTAATTTACATGACCAAAACTGATATTTGCTTAAGATGGGGGCAATCAGATATTTTCCACCAGAGCCAATGGGAAGATTATACCATTGATGTATTATTTGTCCTGGATGGGTGTTCATTTTCACCTGAAGCATCACACATGGGCCACTATCAGGGCAGGGTACCAGACTGGGTGCCCTTACCATCCAATCTGACAAGGTGAACAAGGTGTAAAGGGACTTTGTTCCTAATGGCTAATCTATACATGGAGGAGGGAGAACAAACTGATGTAGTAATAGATATGGAAAATATTATAGAATGCCACCTTGCATCAGCAATATTATATAATGCCACATGCTAGTATCTTTAACAGAAGGATCCTACAGCACTTTACAAACATTCTTTAATTAAGCCTAACATGACTCAGAAAAAAAACCAATGAGTAGTCCTGTGGCACCTTAGAGACTAACAAAAATAGATATAGCATCTTGAGCTTTTGTGGACAAAAAGCACTTCTTCACAGGATTTTGCTCACAAAAGCTCATGATACTCTCTCTGTGTCTCTAGATAGACAGACAGACAGACATATTTATAGAGTTAGTCTCTAAGATGCCACAGGACTACTCATTGTTTTTTAAGTTGAAGACTAACACAGCAACCCCCCTGAGACTTTATGATTCATGTACTACAGAGATGGTGCTTACTACAAGACCGTATCTAACTTATAAAACACTTACATAAAGTAGGCCATTATTATTACACCCATTTAAAAATGAGTAAACAAAAGCACAGAAATCTGAAAGGACTTGCTCCTAGTAACATCATGGGTGATTAGGAGGGGAGGCTCATTCATTCAAATATGTTTTAGTCCTGATTCCCAGAAGAGACAAATGAACCGAATTTAAAAAAGTCTTGCACCGTATAGTAAATGGAGCATTGTCCCGAAAGAGATCGTCTGTGTTAGCAATGATCTTCTGATAACTGATAGCAGCAAGGTTTGAGAAAGATTCCACAACCCTAACAAGCAGTGTACTCTCCAAGGGTGTGTCTAGACTACATGCCTCCTTCGACGGAGGCCCAGAAGAGACAAATGAACCGAATTTAAAAAAGTCTTGCACCGTATAGTAAATGGAGCATTGTCCCGAAAGAGATCGTCTGTGTTAGCAATGATCTTCTGATAACTGATAGCAGCAAGGTTTGAGAAAGATTCCACAACCCTAACAAGCAGTGTACTCTCCAAGGGTGTGTCTAGACTACATGCCTCCTTCGACGGAGGCATGTAGATTAGCCAGATCGGCAGAGGGAAATGAAGCCGCGATTAAAATAATCGCG